AAAAAGAGAAAATCTTGCCGAATGTGTGTTTATAAAGATAGTCATTGATCAGCGGGCTGAGCAAATCTTCTGAAAATGGCCAGGAAGATGGAAGAATCCGTTTAAATGTTTAGATGAACATTGGTGAGATGGCAGTTGACGAAGTTTCGAACTATCAAAATTGCTTGTAGTTTCTGAAAATGCAATATTTTAGGTTCGATCGGTTCGTTTTACAGTGCTTGGATCAACGAATACAATATTTCTGGCAACTTATAATCAGATTCGTCGTACACCTAAATCTGTATCACACATTGCTCTGTGGGCATACAATCGAGAACGTGGCATTTGTCGGCCAATACTTGTTCGACAAGCATGTAACGAAGTTAGTATTGTAATTGTTACATACTAGCGCCAATATTTCTTATACATTACCCTAAAATTTACCCTATCATTACCCTAAAATTTCACCCTCCTAGACTCCGTGGTTCCCGAGAGATTGTGGAGGAGGACCTGCATGGCTGTAGGGTGTGAGCTATGGAAGGGGAGGGGGGACGCCCAAACCGATAAGCAATGCTTTATCAAAAAAAAACACCAAAAAAGCTCACCCAACAAATCAACCAACAATTGGAGGAGATCCGGCAGCAGCTTCAAGCTATCACCGCACAATATGGAGAGCAGGGCGAAGGGGAAGAGCAGCACCAGCTCCAAACTACCATCACACAATAACTTGATGCGCAAAAGCAATCACCATTTCATTTCTGATCACATCATTGCATATCATGGAGGGGGAATTCGAGTCAGGAGACGGAACATTTGCATATCACATGGAATCGAAAGGCAACTGGGCAAAACGAAGGGGTTTAGCCGACAGCTTCGTTACCTTGCTGCTAACACCTTCTTTCTTTTGCAACAAACAGTCATGCGGATATCCTACATTGACTCTGATGCTACTAGATGTTCATATACGCCTTGTACAATTACGAGAACTTTTCAGTCCTGGACTGCATAACCTCCTGTTAATCCGCATTACCACTTATTTACTGCCTCATCCAAAAGTTGGAGTCCTTGGACCATTATAACAAACTTTGCCAAGCATAAAATTCTTATCATTATAACAAATTCTGTAATTTTCTAATTCTTAGTTTTTATCTTCCTTTTTGATC